TTGGTTGTTTTGTGATTACTGGCTGAGTTGACTACATTACTTGTTAAGTTAAGTTATCGTTATAGCTCAAAACAGTGAAGCCTTTTAACGGAAGTATTCCTAAAATTCCATTGGATTAAGGGACTGTTGATGTCGCATTGTCTATGAAAATAACAAAAATATCAAATAAATATAAATAAGAGAAGTAATTGCATTTGATATAACGTTAGCTTGAGCCACGCTGTGAGGATTTGGATGTAAATCATGAAGTAAGTTGATGTTACAAACATAACAAAGAACTTTGGTTAGACTGATGCTGTTCAGTTCACATTTCAGCAAAGTTTGGTGGAGCCGTGCAGGGAATACGAGTTCCTGTAGAGCTTCAGTGGTTCAGATCAACGGCAAGAAAGTCCATTCAATATGAATACTTTCACATCAGTTCATAATATAATTTGTTTCCCAATAACGATAATGAAGTGTTTTGATTTTGTTTTTGTTGGCCACAGATTGGATATGTGTGTGTCGAACTTTCCTCCGGACCGATCGTGGCTGAGGCTCTCAGGTGTAACAGTTTGAGTCCTTGTGAACTGACTGACGTGATTTGACAGAAATGCAAATTAAATAATTCAAACTGAAGGCAATTGCACGCCTGTTGGTTTAATTATCCAGGAGACGTGCCTCTGTGTTGAGAAACAAAGGGCTGTGTGAATCCACCTTTGGAGAGAAATACTACCGTAACCTTCTGATCAGCTGGGGTGACCAAACTATTTGGACATACTAACAGGAATAGTATCCCAACAGGTGCAACAAGACAAACAGGAGAGTGATGCCCATGTGAATCACCCACACAGGCCACACAGAGCGGAGGTCTAATCAGTGAAAACACTGTATTTGAGACGGGACAGAATGTGTGAATAAAACGTGGTTGAATTGGAGAATGAAAAGGATGTCAAGTGGTGTGCTTACATTTCCCGTGCAGGTCCATTAACTCACACCCCTGCACACACACTGGCCAAGTTTTACTGGGTGGGCAGTATAGTTGCTTAATATTTAGCACTGTTTTCCCACAGAAAGTTTGTCCCCAGTCAACACAACACGGGGGTTGGAACCTTCAAACAAAAGTTGCAAGAGAAATCTGACAAGATTGGAAAGTAGAGAAAAATATTCTTCCCACTAATATATAATTACTAAAAGCCTCTCACGGTGTTAAGTGGTCGGACAAGTTTAAATTACACTTTGGTTTTCAATGGTTGTAACCTGTTGCATGTGGATCTTGCTTTGTTATAATGAGCCAAAAGCCTAAAAGGCTCCACTCATATTATTTGCCCCTAAAGACCAACATGCCGGGTATCAGGGGAAGTATTTCTACAATTTGTGGATTCCGTCCCCACAGCAGCACAGGGACTATAGAGATTAATAGTCCAATTTAAATCAAACATATTGAGACACATCACCTCAGCTATGGCGTCATCGGGTGGATAACCATAACCCTGTTAGTGGCCAACTTTAGGAAATAAACAGCACAAGCACAGACTACAGAATGATTGGATGCTTCAGACTGAACGAGGAACATGGGAAACCTGGCGGGTCATTTCGAAGGGAATTTGTAGGAATGGCTGCTGGGAAACAAATATTATTTAAATGTCTGCGCATTCCCTAAGTGGAGTTACCCATCCACTCAGTGTGCAGTGTTTCCCAGAAGTTGCGATAAAGGGTAATGAGCACACACTCATGCCATGTAAAATACCAGTAGGATTGGGACTTAACCCTGTCTCCATGGCAATTGCTGCAATGATGACACATTTGCTGTTTCAATAAACAAAATGACTAGAAATTCCTGAGCATTAACTGATGTGTCATGGCTGCGTGTTTTAGTCATTCAATGTGTAACTCAGAAGGGACGCGTTTCCACACAGGGGGATACTTTACACCATGTTCCCTTACAGACAGAGTGTGACTGAATCGGTTTGTCAGAATTTGTATTTGCAGGCTGTGGGTTCAAACTGTAAGTCAGCAAAGTTGTTCAGTGGACTCTGCAAATCTCGACATGTTTATTTGCAAAGGTACCTGCACCATACAGCTCATTCTGGAGGATGAGTCATCCGCAGTCCACATACAATACATTTGAGGTGGGCTTCCAATGAGCTCCGGGGGGAGAATGTAGAGGGGCAAAGAACACTGCTGAGCGATCACAGCTGTACTGATTTTCTGTCACATTGTTTCACAACAGGAGACATTACCTGGTAAAGGAAACTGTAAATCTCACCCATCCCCCCCCCCGCCACTATAACCACTGCACAAGGCGGGTATGTGCTGCAATAATGTTTTCCCCACACAAATAGTTTGACGAGTTGAATGTGTTTAACGTGAAACATTCCTGCAAACAAATGTTGAGGATGTCAGACAAACACGTAACTAAACAAGCAGGTTTTCACACCAACTTTGGTTTCAGCCGTCATCTGTTGGTAACATTTATCTGAGAATAACAAACACGAGGTGTCACCCAGTTTTCTCTGATGTCTCTTCCTTCTGTCTGTGTGTAACAGACAGGGTACATATAATGTCCTTTGAGGACAGATGTTTGTTGTTGACGGGGCCAACCAACCAAAACAACAAACAACTTCTATGTAATGTCTACACATGTATAATGCTGTGTTACATATACAAAAATAAAAATAACCAACACTTTTTCAAACTCTGCTTCAGGTTTATCAATGCAAGTATTTACTTTCATTTTCAAAAACAGCTGATTCAATTTAAGCATATTAGATTCAGTGTTTAGTCCATAAAACATTACGTAACACCTATCACAACCATCTTGGGCATTTACAAAAAGCCCACACAGACATCTTGTTTGTCAAATCAACACCAGAAGATAAACAAAAAAACAGAAGAGAAGATGAACGCAATATCAAAGTCTTTGGCGATTTTGTGACGACCAATCGGTTAATCAAGTGTTTTTTCAGCACTAGTTTAAAGACCTGTAAAGGTGTAAGTTATGAAGGCTTACCTTATACAGAACCACTTTGTCTGACCTTCTTTTGTATCTCCCCAAAAAGTGCTTCAATTTTATGGACAATACACTTTATTTGTCAATTGTCAATTCCCTTGTTTTCCACTATCGGGTGTACTGGACACGAAATGCGTACATGGTGGAAGCACTGGCCTCGGGCCTGCTTTGCATGCCAAATCCAGGCTGCATACCAGGAATTTCCATAACCCGCATTTAAATATTTGCATTAAGCGTCACGAGACAGGACGATGAGCAAAAGCAACTCTTGAGGGCTTATGATGTTGTATCTTCAATGTAAGATTGAAATGCATGCAATTGACCTTCCTTTGAATCTTTTTTTATTGTTTGATTGAAATACAATGAATGCTGATGTTTCCTCTAAGTTTGGAATCTTTGTGTTTATATTCCCTCATCTCAAGGGAAGTTATCTATGTGATAGGAAGCAACATGTCATTTTAATTGTATGTTGACTTGGCGAGCTTCGTGTAATAACACAATGAGGATCAATTAAAAGTGCTTTGATTTGAGGGTGAAATGCCATTAAAGTCACCGAGATCTTTGTTTAACATTAACAAAAATAGAGTTAACAACTTTGTGACGCATTTGCACAGAGGTGTTTTTTACTAACATATCACAACACATTCCATGTAATGTCTCTCATGGAGGCAAGATAAAACAATAGGTCCGACATGATCTGAGATTCTACCTGCAGTTGCTAAGCAACACCCACCTCCAACCTCTCAATCTGTCCCATTGGTCAGCAGGAAAAACGCACAAGGAGCCTTATTGGCTAAGAGAAAGTTAATAAACTTTAGCCAAGACCTGCCTCTCCGTGTGCGCACACACTCTCCCTCCCTCCCTCCCTCACAATGAAGAGATTCTTGTGAATGGGAGCATGAGAGGGTGTCAGTGCTTGCGCAGTACAGTGCTGATATATGCATTGAGCTCCTGAGCTAAAAATAAAGATCACACCGAATGCCGTGCCACTGAAGTTGCAAGACTGAATTGAAAGTGACAAGTCTAGTCCTCTCCAGACAGAGCAATGAGGTCCCACCCCCGTCACAGATCCAGGAGGCATTTTTGACGTTCGTTTTTAGTGCAGAGTTCTAATAAAAGCTTGTTCCTGGCAATTCTTCATATTTGATCAGGCTAAAAATGCCACACAGGAAAGCCTAAATATATCTTTGAAATACAATTCAAAGATGTATTTGGAAGTGGTTCCCAACCTTTACTTTCCCAGCATCCCTCTCAAATGAGCTCAAGTATTTAAACTAATTTAGACGGGATGCTATGAACACTGAATAACATGCAGCCTAAACAAAGATTTATACTACATTATATTTTTCTTACAACTGTATTGGCCAAAGCAGGAGATTACAATAAGCTATGCTTTTTAAAAAACGGTTCCAATTTTATTACTTCTAGCCAACAAATTTCACTCCATTTCAGGTCCTTATTTCAATATTTTTTCCATTATATTTGTCCGTGAATTACAACCATTTGTCCAGCAGTTTAAGCGAACTCTCATGTTAATCTTAGCTAAAGATTTAAATCATTCATTAGATACTTTTAGCTAGTTTACCAGCTATACATTTATTGAATTGCATCCATCCGTTACTCTTTGCTACAGTGCATCAAGTATTTTTGGTCATCCAGCAACTGCAGATGGGATTTTCTATATTTTAAACTGAATCTCAACTAACATTCGCTCCACGCCGCTTTGAACACTGAATGAAGTCTGGACTCTGTTCAACGGTGAAATACTCTCTTCTTCCTGAGGCCCCACGACGTATTGGTGGAGACAATAAGCATATCAATCACTACACTGGAGGTTTATGAAATGGGTTATTTTTAATAGTGTAGAGGTATCTTTGCTAGTCCTGTTGTGAGTCACTCCTGGATCAGTCACATATTTCTTGCCTTGGTGTTTTTCACCTTCTGAGACCCACGTCACTTATTTATCATCGGAACATCTTGTAACGCAAACTTCATTGAAAGACAGCCACAGTTTTGTTACAAGCACTTTTTATTATGAGTCTACCGCCCCCATGTTACGAACTGTACAGGATTATAAAAAACCATTAAAATACAAATAGCTCAACGTAGAGCTATTAAACAGCCCTATTTATTTTTGCTGTTAGTGTGAAAAGGAGTGTTTCAATGCAAACATTTAAAGGAAAAATTAGAAATTCTAAAAACAAAAACATCCTTAAACTACACAGAAGTCCGACACAATTGTTATATACAAGTCAAGTAAAATTTCCCTTCAGTGTGAGGCTGTGTCAAAGAAAAAAACTAAACAGTGCAACTTATAATACATTTCGTCTTATTACTTTTTCTTTTCTGCAGGAGAAACCCTCACAATGGAACACCTGACTGATATGAGAACGGTTGGAAAAAGGATGAGAGGCAGAATGTTCATGAAGACAAAATGGAGACATTCAAACACAATGTTGCTTCACATTCGTTTGGTCACTCGTTTTAAATGTTGGGAGGTTTTATAGAAAAAGGACTTTGATTTCTGAGGTTCGAGAAGATTTCCTTCAGACACGCTCCTCAGTACTCTTCGAGGCTTGTTCTCCTCTGGACCTGAGCACAGACGCCACAGTAATCAAGGGAGAGCAGCAATAAGCAACACAACAACTACATGATGAGAGGAAATAAGACAAATGACTCTGTTCAAACATAATGCAGGAACCGAGTGGTGGGAGACAAGTTACAACTCAACACAGTATTAGAAGAAAAAAAAAAAATCACATTCTGGCTTGTTCAAATGCTTCATAGGAAAATTAAGTTATATTTAAAAATATCCGGTCCATTTCCTGTTAAGTTTGCTTTTGTGTGTTGTCACTTACCGGCAAAACGATGCACTCTGAGTGGTCTGCTGGCCACTGAGGGGTCCTTCTTTATGCGCTTTGGAGCAGACGCAACCGGTGTCGACGGTTCTTGGATGCTGCTATGGTGGAAAAAAACGGACAAGGGATATTTTAAAAAGCAATCAATCAAAACACGAATAACTCCGTCACAATAGTACTCAGACCTTCCTATGAATGTTGGTGACAGAAACCAGCTTTACCGGCGAGGTATCATGAATATGTCGAAGTGTGTTTCAATACAAAGAGGGTAAAAAACAAGTTGATTCACATAACTATAAGAGGAAAAAAGGCAGAGGCACGTTACCAGTTAACTTTGCGCTTTCCTTTGGCGGCGGAGGTCAGGTCCATGTAGGTCGGGTTGGTCCGTCTCAAGTCTTGTAGAGACGAGATCTGTGATCTACAGAGCAGAGTTTCACATTACCGTGACATAATTAATGCATGGTATCAATTCCTGCATTAGAAATTTGTCTGACAGATAAAGTCTTGGGCATTTGATTTTCTTATGGCACTTCGTGTTACAAAATTAATAGATCAATGTCGGTCCTTCCTGTTTTAGTTTTTCTAAACACAAATATAAAACAGAAACTCCCCTAAATTTGTCGTCATCGTTCCACACGGTTTGCTTAATATCGACAGATATTTACAAAGTTAATGGTTTTTCTTGCTAACCAAATGGAATAGTTTTCCTTTGAGACTTGACTGTTGCAAGACAACTTAGAAGCCAGGTGCTAAGTGCTCTCATATGGTCTGGATTAGCCTCGAGACAAAGTATTAGTGTGGGGCAGCGAAAACGTTGTCAAGTAATGGCTATTTCTTTGACTGAGGGGGATGCATTTAAATTGTTAGGTTTTCTAGTAAAATAAACTGATACACGGTCAAGGCGTTGATGTGGAGGCTCGTCTGCTTGGAGCATTATGCGCTGACACAAACCACGACGGATGATACGGTCTGAAATATTTCCTCTTCTATTTGCCCCTTCTTAGCTGACTTAAGCCTCTTGGCACATATCGTGTTGAATTTTTTTTTCCAAATCCCAAAATCTGCCACTCAAACTTGTGTATCTCATTTTCTCTCCCGGAGAAGAACTCCTGTCTGCTGGCAGGCTATTGCCTCCTGAGTGGCCAATTAATGCCTTGTCGAGACTTTACACAGAATTAGATCAAACCGACCTTTGATGCATGAGACATAGAGGTGATTGGGAGGGAAGTCCATATTGGATAAGAAAGATATTTGTGTGACATTGCAATTCATTTTAGGAGAACTGGCTCTGAATTGGAAAATTGGAATTATTTGCTGCCAACTAGCTGCTTTGTATGTCATAGAGGTTCATTGTAGTTACGCTAATAATGCTAACTAGTAGAGTTCTGGATTAACAAAAAGGTGCGCTGGTAGGTTATCACGCCATTGCTATTAAAAACATGTTCATGTAAATTACATGACGCAAGAGTGTGTGACAAATGGTTTAGATGCATCATGGCTGCTGCTGCATGTTTCCCTCTGAACTTATATATAAATATGGATATCCACAGTTTGATTGTGATGTTCCGTGTTGGTTCCTGCTGATGCAGCAGTGTAACAGCATGTGTTGAGTTAAGAAACACTTGTACGCATTACATGCCAGCCGGAAAAAATGTTTTTTTTTAATCTTAACTAATTAACTTTCAGAAAGAACTGAACTGATTAAACTGTTAAACCTCCTCAAATCAAAAGAAAGGTTTGGGGTATTTGCTCACTTTTTAGTAGGAACCCGGTTCCCCTCACTGGCCTCGGGGAGATGCAGAGGTTGGCCTGGATCCGAGACGTCCGTTGATGCTCGACAGGGACTCCCGATGCGGATTATAATCGTTGCATTACTTGCAGTTTCTTCTGCATTGTCCAGAACCTCAAATGTCATGTTGGGGTCCATGTCGCTGGCAGAGCTCTGGGGCGGGGCCCAAACCGGTTTTTGCGACGGTTCAGGTGTGTACTGGAGAGCGAACATGTCGTCCTCAAGCACTTCCGGGGGCCGGGGGCTTTGCGGTGCCAGTGACGCAGACAAGTTTCTTCGGATTAGCATTCTGGGAGGTGGTTCCAGTTTTGTATTTGTCGGTTTTCCTTCAACTAAAAACAAAAGAAAAAGAATAGGCAGTTAATAGGAATCAAACAAAGCAGCAATAAATTGCATTCAACTTAAATGACAATGCAAGATGATGATAATCATAAAGCGGGTTCAGAGAAAGCCTTTATATTTTTTACGGTTAGTGATGTGAATAGGTCATTCCCTGTGATCAGGGGATATTATGCATAACACAGGACATCTAAACATTATAGTGCCCACCATCACAATGTCAGAAAATATTATTATCTAAAAAAAGCAGTGCACTTTATAAATAGATGTGAAGTCGAGGATTTTACCTGCTAACAGCCTCGGATCTTCTATTTCAAACCAAGAAAAACGCGGTGCTCAAACACACGACTGGACTCTTTCAACTCCACTTTTGAAAGGAGAAAATCTAAGTGCTGCTTCTGAAGATGCTGTCGGTTCAAAATATTAAATGTATATATCATTTTTGTCAATCTATTATAGGGTACTCCGTTTCTCGTTTCTATGATGGTCAAATGTATCATGCCTGTGAGTTCCGGGAGCAATAAAATGATGAGGAATTCAGCACAACAAACTATTTCCAGGAGTAAAGTCTTTTATTTGTTTAGAGTTTCAATGTTTTAGGCTTAAAATTGCAAACCTCCCTGCAGTTAGAGCTAGTGTGCGGGTTCTGCAAAATGATTCATTTAAAACATTACATGTGATGATGCCTGGCTATTTGCTGTTCAAAACGATGAACAGAATGTTTGGTCCCAATGACAATGAACCCGTTTGTCTATTCAGCAGCACTAAAACTGAAACAGGATAACCAAATGATATATACCTGTATGTATTTAAATACCGATTGATATGAGAAATTGTATCCAGTCACTTTTTACCACTTTGTCTAGCTTCACTTAAAAACAACAACAAAAACCTGCATGAGTTGCAGAGGGTAATGAGGTTAAATCACGGTGTCTGCATCACATTATGCTCATGGCATTTCCTGCTGGCGTGTAGTGGGGGTTAGGGAGGGGGCTTAAAAGGAAAAATGCCAGCACTTAAAGGGAGTATGAGCTCTAAATGCAAAGGTGAACGACTGACTTACCCATTACTTTAAATATCAAAATGCAATATTTAGCAAATGTGAGTCAGACCTCAGACAGCACAGCGAGCGAGGAGATGATGACAAACAGCCCCTTTCTGTGCAGAGGAGTTGCCCCTAGCAGCAAATGGCAGCAGAGTTCCTTCAATCACATATTTTTGGCTTGTAGGGGATTAATACATGCATGAGTTGCTATTTCTGGTAGAGGCTGTGCTGAATTAGGGTCGCCTGGTTGCTGCTGCCTGTTTTTTATAGTGCGCCTTTTCTGGTTGGTGGAGCAGGAGAGTTTACGTCTGTTGACGTTTTTTCCTGCCCTGCTGTGGATCTGCATTTTCATGAATGGAGCTCAGGAGGGATTGAGAGGGTTAGATGCTAGACAGACAGAGAAAAACATTTCAGGGCAGGACGGATAGAAAGGCAGAAAAAGCCAGACTAACAGATGTTTGATGCCAAGGACAGCAAAAATCTAAGAAGGAAAAAATAGATAAGACAAGTGAAAGGTAGAGGAATATAAAAATAACAGCATGAAGGAGGCAGTGGGAGGTAGCTGAATGAAAAATCCCGAAGCTATTAATAAATGCATGTGTGGACATGTTTTCCTTCAAAGTGATTACTTTTGTTTGATTTGCTATTATTAAGCAGTGTACAAAGAGTTAATGCTATGGCAAAACCTCACCCCTCTCTAAAAGCAATGGAATTTGATTGGCTTTGCAAACTGCAGGGTGGAGCTATTTCTCATAACATGCTGCAGTGGCTACCATTAAGAGCTGGAGAAGCAGCGAGGGACCGGCAACAGCATCAGGAGGGGATCAGAGCAGTGTGCTGTAATGCGATGTGGAGGCATTATTCATTAAACATCGGTGTTATTTCAGATTTATACAATTTAGAATTTAGAATAATAGCTGAATGCTGCACGATTCTGTTCAGTTAGTAATTTATCATAGAGATAAAGCAGTAGATACTGTATATCTGAATTATGGGAACATAATCAATGATGATAATAATAATACTACTACTAACAGGCATTATTTAACTATCATTATATTAGTGTACGGTCAAATTTATTTTCTCAAACACCAAATCCTCCCGATGTTTTGTCTCGGTTGTGCCAACTGGTGAATAAGGTTTGGGCTATTTAACTTGTTTGTTTGGTAAAATATCAAAGCTTGCCATTGTGAGACAGTTTTTATGTTTGTGGAGGTGTTGACACATGTGGAAAGACAACAATAGATGTATTGGCAAAGAAAATGTATAATATGAGAAGATTGCAATGAATGACCAGATGGGGAGAAAAAACAACTCTAAAACAACTGGCTTGACATAGAAACTACGGCCGGAGAGGCAATAATAATTTATATATGAAAACTTGCAAGGAAATAAAATAGCAGCGACAAATTCCCTGGTGCTTCCATGTTTCATTTCCATTCACGGAACTCTGGTCATCTGGCACAAGTATTTTCTTCAAAAGTAAAATTTCCCACAATAGTTTTCAATGAAATGCAGACCACCTGCATTAAATATCATTACAGCCTATTTAAACTGCAATATTTCACAGGGTTTTTTGTGTTACATTTCCCCAAAGGTTCAATGTGTACAGTTTTTCCTCTATAAAAGTGGTTTTGAGTATTCACAATTGCTTTATTATTCATGTTTTGGCCAAGACAGAATGTCTGCAGAACAGCTATAAATCAAATTATATTACATGTCTGAGTTTTATTGTTTATTTTACTACTTCGAACAAGGACTTTTACTTAAACGGCGAAAAACATCATCCTCAGCAAATGAAAAGCAACACGGCAAAGTGGAAATCGAGGCCTCCCTAAAACAATGGAACAATTCTAATCGCACTTTGAAAGTAGTACCTCAATGCGTGTGCGTTCTGCTTGAATCAAATGTAGCAGTGAGTTTTGGCAAGAGTGATAGAGTGAAAGCTGACAAGCAGAGAAGTGAATGATTGAGGGGGAGGAGAGATTAACAGGCGGCGGTTTTAGATTAATGACTTGAGTACGGTAGCACGACGGGGGAGAGGACAGGACCTTTACCTTTGGGTGACGGAGCAGCATTGCACAGTGATGTTCTCCTCGTACGGCCCTCCGCACCTGACAATTAAACAATAATAAAGAGTCAATGAGAAGAGACTTTAACGCATCACAAATAGGCAGAATTTGCTGTTTCATTAAGAAATATGACATTCTTACTAAACGTTTGAAATATGCTCTCTTACTTGGAGTTTCAAAGTCAAAAGTTTCATGCAATGTTACTTTTATTAAATAGGAATATAAAACCATTTCAATGAAATAAAAATCTCACACAAAAGCCTAAGCGTGACGCACGGTACAGTAGCGTGTACAAGGGGGCGCAGGCGGTAAGTGAGAGCAAAACAGATGTAATTTATAATGCAACTTGGAATGTTCCACGAGGAGGCTGACGTTAACATCTTTATCCAAGAGTTTTCATTCTTTGTTCTACTAACAATAAGTTCAATTTGCAATTCCACAAAAAAGAAGAAGAAAAAAAAACGCTTGAAAGAAGTATTGAATGTAATACAATTTGAAATGAGTCAGCAGAGGAACCGGGGAACAGGTGCAGAGTTTAATGTCTCACAATTGATAGACATTATCAGAGGAATTGAGTATTGTTAGCCAGCTTTGGTTCATTCCCCGCTGTCTGTCATGTCCTGTATGTCACACGGGCGTGGTGCGGCAGCTGCTACGTCTCACTGTAATGGCGGCGCAGTCTGGCCCTCATTGAACTATCTGACAGACACCTGACTAATATCTTCACTTTGTTATATCCAGGCGTCACGTGGGCTTCTGTGACCAATTCTAGAAAAGCAACCTGCGCTCAATGGGATGCCATTACAAATACATTTACTCTTGAGACTGTGTGATGGACATTTCAGTTTTTCTTTACTTTCTAGACTAACCAACACATGTATCGATCTAAAATAACCATGTCATAATTTCCAATTGTATTGTAACGATTGGAATCGGATTCATAAATAAAAGCTCAACAGAAGAATGGTAGTATGATGTATGATGACTTACTGCAGGGGCTATTCTGGTGGTACAGCAGATTGGAGAAACACAGGACAGGTGCCAACTCGCTGCGGTCCGCCTCGTTCGCCTTCAGCGCCCCCTCTCTAACCCCTGCTCCTTTCAGCGGCTCCCCCAGCCCCTCCTGGTCAGCCCAGACCACACCTCGCTCCCTCAACACAACCTGCTCCAGTTCCTGGTTCTCCATCTCGTCTGCGGGCGTGACCTCCCCGGCAGCCCGCAACGCGGAGTAGTTACGACTGTAAGCCGGCAACACGATGTTCATCATTCTAAAATGCAACGGAGAAGGTATTATTGAGATATTTCTTCCAGGAAAATGAACACGAGTGACAGTGGGATAAATCATCTTCTGCACTGTATTGGTTCTTCACTAGTGTAGTCAACCTACTTCTGCATGCGCTTGTTCTCCTGATCCTGCAGTGCGGTCAGCTCGACCATTTGCTTGATGTGTTGTTTGAGGTCATTAACCTGCAGCTCCAGTCGGTGACAATGTAGGCTCTTATCTAAAAGCTGAACAACACAAAGAAATGTCTTCAGAGACCATAAATGATGAGGCAATAAGCATTCTAACATAACGGCAGCATATTGGATTAGCACTCTGGTGGGCAGAATAAAAAAACAGCCAATAGGTGATTAGGGGTCGGGTTACGAGATAGAAGATGCAAAGTTCTGTTTTCATCGGTGCATTACCAGAAGAGCTATCTGCTCGGGCTGCGGGAGAGGAGAGGGGAAAAAAAAAAAGAGAAAGACCTCTGACGTAAAGAATCTACGAAACAACAGCAGAGAGAACATTTGACCGGTGGGTGCGTCACAGTTCTAGGTCAGTTCCTGGAAGAAAGGATGAAGAAGAAAAACATAACATGGGCATGGTTTGAGGGAACTGGCTGCTGTGTGAGGGACGAGTAAAGGGTATTGATTTATTCTCTTCAGTGATCCACGAGTGAGCCGGAGAAATAAAATGAGCACGCTTCTAATTACTAGAAGAACAGATGGGAAGAAAACTAAGACAGTCACGACACCGGTGGAGGCAGAGCCCAGCTTCCAAAATAAACAAACAAAAAACACCAGTTCTGAAGGACGGAAACCACATTGTGAAGTTTTTGCCTACGTCTAATTGTGCTCGTTTGTCTACCACTAACTCAAAATACTTCCACCCTGTTCATTTCCGGAACTGGTTGAATAACTCATCTCATCTTGAACTTGGAATAACTTGCGTGTTGAAATTTAAAAAAGGTCTCGATTACACATTGAAACAATTATATTTGTCTGAAGTAGTAAAATAAATAAGACCGACCACACACACACACACACACACACACACACACACACACACACACACACACACACACACACACACACACACACACACACACACACACACACACACTTTATTGAGAACAAAGCACATATTTTCCCCTTCATTCCTCAGTTGTTTTTAGGTAAATGTGAGAGTTAATTAGTTCTGTGTACCTCTGAGGTCTGATCATCCGACTTTAGCAGCTTAATGTCATTCTCGACACGATGAAGCAAGCCGTCATTGTCCAGGAAACGTGTTTGTGTCTCATTCAGTCGTTTGCGAATGTGTTGCTGCTGAGTGCGTAAGCTGGCAATCTTCCGCTCGTGCTTGCAAGTGGCCTGATAAATAAAAAGAAATAGAAAACAGGACAAAGATTTAGGTGATATCATGAATTGTCCATTGTTTGTCAGTATAACATACTGTTAACTATGTGGTCTAATTAACAATAACTAAAGCTGCTAACAACATGGCAAGCCATATTTGTGTCTAGTATTCATCAATATTTATGAATCTGAAAGAACTAAGCATTTGTTGTTAATTTTCAGAAAATGGTTTCTTGAAACTACTGTAACTTCATAAAAGAAATATTTTAAGAAATGCAGCCGCTGCAAATTTCGTTGGTAAATGCTCCCATCATTTAGTTGGTAATGGATGACAGCAAACAATTCTGCAAAGTTTAGTACTAATAATTCACAATTTATACTTTAAATGGCATTTACAACCGGGACTAACACCAGGGCCTCGAATGGAAAAGCTGCGGAGCAGTGACCCTGTCTTGTAGTGGTGTAAATGGAGAGGCCAAGACAACTACTGAGAACCCAGAAGTGAAATGATGACTCAGCAGCAGACTTTCTGCGTGCATGATGGACTCTGTGGAAAGCAGCGTAAGCATCACCTACCTTCTCAGTCTTTTCTCTGGCACAGAAACATTGGACCTGCAGGTTGTCCTCCTCAGTGTAGCGCTGGCGCAGCTCATTCTCCTTCAGTTGTCTCTCCAGATCCAGCTGCTCTTTCCTGATTTGGGCTCGGCCCGAGAAGATTTGCTGCAGAGCTTCCGACACCCTGGAGGGAGAGAAGAGTGATGTTCAATTGCAAGAGGCTTTGCCTTATAAAAGGGCAGCTTTAGAAAGTTGAAAGTCAAATTTGAAAGTAAAAAGTGCAATCTTTGATGTTTATATAAAAAAAAAAGAAGAAGCTTTAAATCATTTTGGCAAATGAATTGTGCTAAAAAGCAGAGCGGGTGATTCTAGTATCATCTTCTTTGTAATTTAAGTATAGCCTTGATAAACTGTCTTTGTGCCCCGTTTGAGCTGCTACTCTCAGACAGGCGTCCATGAACTCTGGTCATCCTGGAGGCTTGGTATTTTGTTGAATGGTGTCTTTTTTTTGTCCGCTCTTGTTCAAACAGACAGAGGGCACAAAATATTAGAAACAGCTCTTAGTATAATGCAATCCAATAAAACATTGCAGGATGTGATTAGAAGCTTGTGTGCCACACGAAAGGAGCACATTCACATTAATTGCTGTGAAAATGCACTCTTACAAGCCACTTGTTCCCGAGTACCACCGAAGGCCATGAGATATTCAATTGTTTTATTAACAGGCCAACACCAGTTTAAATACAATATAGCTAATAATTAAAATGTAAAAATATACCAATTTATTTAATCAAACACTTGCATGGCTAAAAGAGGTACTCTCCACAAGTAATAAATGCTGCTAACCTTTTCCTACAACCTAGAGCCTCAGCTAGATACCAGCTCTGTTTAGACTGAGCCAGAGAGATATTCTTAGCTACATGATGTATATATGTATTCTTGGAACAAGGGTGCGGCGATGTCAGGTTGGAGTCAAAGCAGCGGGAGAGGCAGGAGAGGTGTGCAGGTAAATGCGACTGGAGAGCTGTCGCTGAAATGTGACTGCACTCTTCAATGTAACTCCGGTGACGTAGGAGACGTCGTGGCCTCGCTAGACTGCTGAATTTTTAATAGCGTGAGAAGCGTGCAGCCTCTATTCAGAGCCGCTCACTGTGCGAGTTGTGAATTCTGATGCCAGTGAATGAAATGCGTGGGCGTGAGACTCATTCAGCTTTTCCATGTCCCCCGCCCCAAATACCCCAACAGATGCCGTACAGATGAATCGATCGGATTTGTGTAAAAGAAATCAATTTGTATATATTATTTGAATAAAAATATATGTTCTCAACAGTTCTCCCTCAAATTAAAACTCCACATTTAAATAAAACATAACTCTAAACGCCAGTGTTTTCCACCTAGATATTTGAGCTTTAAAGTAGCATTTTTGTTTTGAATCCATAAAGTAAAATAGTTCCTGAATAGAGCGTTGGATTAAAAACAAGCAGGACTCAGTCCCATTTACTATTTTGGAATGGGTCACTGTGTTTTAATAAAAGACAAATAAGATAAAAGCATAGAAATAGCAGACATTTGATAATAGATAAATAATAGATGAATTTGTCACTTTTGTTCAATGTTTTGGTATCTGGCTGCTCCGTTGGCTGCAGTGTGGGTCAGGGGTGGAAATGAATCAAAAAAGTCTCACTGTATGAAAATATTGGTATATGTTGCAGAGCACTAATTCTTACTCAGGTGCTGTTACAACAACACGTTTTAATCCCAAAACAATGACCCTAAAATGATAAAAAAAAACAAGAAGAAATACACGTTGAAAGAGGTTGGTAAAGACGGCCATTGGATTGTTACGAAGAGGTCTTGTTTTCCAGGAGGTTTAAGTGGCCATTTCGGGGCAAAGCATTTCATAGAAGTAACACGGACAAGTTGTTTAGCAGAAGTGCCATTCGATCACAGATTCTGAAAACTTTGTTTCCATCGCGCTTTGGGCAGGTCAGCTGTCAAAAACACCACTAATACATTGTGTTGCGAGTGTGTGCGCAAGGCAGCACATAACAAATGAACAGCCGCTGGCTTTTTTGACTAATGATATCCACATCGACACAGTAAGTTACCGATGCTTTGGGTAAGAAAAGGTTGCTTCGCTTCTATTCCAGCAACATTTTAGTTTAAACGTTGGGATCCCATTCTTGAACAAAAGGATAGCGGTAGGATCAACATGTGAACAAACTATTTCTATCTATTCAGGATATTCAAGTTATCATACAGAACATTATAGTTCAACCATGAATATTTTAGGTGCAGCTTTAGAGCAGAGAGCATCTTGCACCGCCAAGTCTGAGGTCACTACAGGTAGGAGGAGTCGTTATCGGGACGGACCGTAGTCAGAGATGGGAGGAGACCCAACTCAAGGTTACTTTGCCTAATCTGCAATAACAACGGCCTACAAAGTGTCGCACGCACGCACGCACAGGTCCTATTAACCTCATGTTAATCAATATTTAAAATATTATCAAATAAAAACAACGGCAGGTTTCAATCTGAATCAAACACTTGTTTGGATGCTTACCTTTTGAACTCTGCCTGTTTCTGAGATGTGATCATGTTAGAAGCCCCATGCACCGCGTTCTTCTCATGTTCCTGCAATTTCTTCTTCAACTGTAGAATCTTTATAGAAGAGAAACATCGAAATAGTGGTGAGAATTGAACCAGGAGTAGGGCGACAATTGAGATATTCTGTTAAAGAGCGGCATATGATGCTTCATATTACCTCTTGCCGTTGCTTTTCACATACCACTGCATACTGGCCAATGTGGCTGTTCAGGCTCACAACATTACTTTTCAGCTGAAATGTAAGGGAAGGGGAAGGTTTTCATATGCCTATAGCTCAAGTATCACAACAATGAAATAATAGAAGACAATTGTGAAACAATGGAATGCCTATAATACTAACCGAGGACTTAATTTCCTTGGCCCTGTTGGCATACTTCAGTGCATTATGGGTGTCATCGTATGACTTGGACGAGGGGCTGACATTGGCAATCATAACCGTTCTGCAGTTGCCCCCCAAGGAGTCCTTAAGTAGTCGCGTCAGCTTGCTGTCCCTGTACGGTATATGAGTTTTCTTACTCTGGAACAGAAAAGATGATTACATTAGCCCAAAGAAACAAAAACGATTTGATTGATGGGTTTACAAAAGGTGAACCAAAAACGAGCAGCTCAGAAAATCCTTGACCTAAACATATACTGAAAACATGAAACAAACAGAAATACGGCTGAATACGGCTGATCCAATTGCGTCAACCGTGATCTGAACCAAAGGGAAGGTGTGCCGTTGCTGTTGCTGTGGGGTGCAGGGGAGCACAAATGTGGGGTGCGCTTGAACATGCACTCTCCATCTGGACGAGCTCTATAGGAGCAGTTTAGTCATATTACACTATTTGCTGGGGAGCAATAAACCCAAAGGGCAACGTTCACTATGGAGCGTTCCTTTTAGGGTTGAATCAGGGAACAGCCATCGACAGCAGCCGCTCCGGAGTCTTTTTGCAGCTGGTCTGTGAACACAGCTCGGTCTTCAATAAAGGACTTAGATAGACTACAGCTGCTTAGGTGAGTCACAATCTCGTGGGCACTGCGATCGTAGAGTCACATTAAAGGTAACAAAGGAGAGTAAAATAATCTCTTCTGGGGTTAGCGGCTGGGCCTGCACAAAAAACCTAAAGCCTACATCTGGATTCAGAGACGTCAGTCATAGTTCATGTCACGTCCAGGGAGTTTCAGGATAGCTTTGCCAATTTGGAAAATATAACTTTAATAAGAACACAGGCGTAGGCATCCAAACGTATTCTTTCAGCAATGTAGATATTTTAAGCTAAACTCAATTGTTCGTTAGGATAATCCTTTTCAATCTGTCGCACGTATAAAAGTTCTGCAAAGTTCCAGGAAATGGAGGGAGCTCGAGTGAGAGGGAGGAGAGGAACCGCTTCAAAATGAACCCGTGGACAAGGGGCTACTTCTGGTAATGCTGACCATGTGGTGCTCTGTTCCCTCATCTTTCACTCCCCACAATCGCTCACATTGATTCTCGTGACAACAGACAACATAATACTTTTTTTTTTTTGCGATCGTCAGGCAAGATCACAGAGTGATTAGAACACAGGTTTTAAGCGCTATTTGTTAAGCAGAGTTAAGCTAAACATCGTGGATAATATCGCAGATAAGCTTTCTCGTGTACTACTATTGGATATTGTGATAGTGAGAAAAAAACGACAAAACATTAAAAAATAAATTAAAATGACCATGTGTGGCTTTACAATACTGCAAGGATCCTCAAGTCTTACAGTCTTCTTCCCCAAAAAAGCTCAGTTTTCTACTTGAGCACGATTGGCCCTGTCAAATGTACCCAACTTTTTACGTAAGCCCTTTTTTTGTTGCTCGGAAACACTGGCGTTATGTGGACGGACAGTCCAAACGGTGAGAAAGGATTCCCAGATCAAATGTATCTGCGTGGCTTTCAAAAGAAAAACCTCTGCGCAGCACAGCATGACGTACTGAACTGCCCGGACAGAAGTGCTAAACATTTGTCTTTACTCAAATGAATGGCACATCACCCGCAGACACAAGTGTCCACAACATCAATTCCATGTATCTGCAGAGTCAAGACTGCAGCACCAACGATGGTGGGGATCGGGGAGGGGAGGAGAGGTGGTGGCCGCTGTGAGTTGACCAGATCAAACTACGTCCATGACGACGACGCTCATAAATGGTGAGCAGGCTGTAATACTAACTGGACACAGTTTTAACACAAGAATTAAGTAACCAGTCAACGAAGGATCCCGTTTCCACGTGGACGTGGTATAATTGCACATCACTTCCTGAACGCATGTGGCCTGCTGGTGCCTCGTCCCTTGGGACTGGTGTGTAAAATGAGAAGACTGCTTTTCAGGGTAATGTATGCAACGGGAATGAAATACTAGCCAGATATTCAGTTGACAAAACACAGCTGAAGCACATTCCCTGTAGTTGTCCACTGTCTGTTCAAATCTATATTTAATATATATTGTAAATGTGTTGACTGACAGACTGTCAGACAGTTTGTAAATTTGGTTCAACATCTGCAGTTGAAGAACGAGGGCTAGAAATGCCACGACGCAAATATAAAACAATACGGACTACGCAGAATCTAAAATTCAGCTATAACTTTACTATGTATCAGCAAACACACGGCGTTGTTTAATGTAACTTATTTGATCAGCGTTAAAACTGTAGAATCTTGCATGAGTTAACATTTTTTTGTGGATTAGAAAAGTTTCTAAATAAAGTTTTTCTACAACTTTTTTTTTTTAATGATTCATAAAGCAGCATTTTCTTCTGTTACCAAGCTACACTCTTAGTTCAGTTCCTACTGTCTGACAGATGCTGCTGTGCACACATGGTGGCTAACCAGGAGGTCTTCTGTTCATTTAAAGGTGTTGCATAATCGGGCACACAGTCGAAAAATTAGATTCCTTCATGAAGAGATCGATAATCTTAACCTCTGAACACGGTAAAACTAGGGCTGCAACTAACGATCATTTTGATAATCGATTAATCGGTCGATTATTTCTTCGATTAATCGAAGAATCAGATAAAAATAACAGCATTAAAAAGCCTTCTTTACCAACCATTTATTCTAAAATAGAACTGCAAATCCACATTGCAAAAATACTTCAGAAAGTACAGGTTGCTCCTTGAATAGAATAAACAAAAATACAAAATCAGAAAAAAGGATTTGTTTTAACGTCAGAACTTGTTCTCTATACTACACTCACAAACACACCCCATGTTCACTTGAAGCTTATTGAGTGTGGCAAGTGAAGCTGAGCCAAACTTCTTGTAATCTCACATACTTATTATTATTCTCCTTCCGTACGGAAGTTTGGCATGCATATCATCCCGCACCGTTGATCGGAATTGTCTCAAACTGTCGGGACCCATCGGGAATCGTGTGCCATTATGCTGGCAAAGAGGAATGACTCAGGTGGGGGGCAAGGCGCCGATACGGGCGAAGCGCGAGGGGGGCGCTAGCATGACGCTAACATAGCACTAGCTAGCATTGCACTAGGAATAACAGGACCTAACTGCTGACAAGTGGCTAAGACAGCCAGAGAAAATCGGTCGTGTCTTTAGTTTGCTAGCTAGCCTTTGTGGCTAGCCTTCACTTGCCTGCTTGGCCGACTCATGCAAAGGCACCTGGAGGCAGGTGAGGCCACGCTCTTAAAATTACTGCGGAATTTTCTAGTTCATTAAATTATTACCATCATTATAGTGCAAGTTAAGTAAAGGTATATACCCCATCTAAGTACAGCTAAAAAAATAACACATGTTGCTATGAGATTAATTTAAAATAGCATTTGTAAATAAATGCATTAGAGGCTTCTTAGTTAGCCGCGCTGGTTTAATGGATCACAGTGTCTCCCTTTACAGGCATAACATCAACTGAATGGTCCAAAAGGGCAAGTAAATAAAAACATTTCTTAGTCTGCTTTTTTAACTGCTTTACTGCGGTTATTAGCGAGCTAACGCTAGCTTGATCAGATGGATAACGAGTAAACAGCTGGAGGCTCGTTACGTTCCTCAGGTCAAAACGGGAGAACGCGGTGCTCCCGTGCCAGGTTACGTTGACTTTGCATATTTTGCCATTGACACACTTTCAGGGTCTTTAGTAACGCGCACATCTCCGCAACTCATTGAGTGACGCAATAATCGCGCGACACAAGTCGCTTTTGATAATAATAATAATAAATAATAATTTTATCGATTTGTTGTTGCAGCCCTAGTTAAAACACTTTCTAAAAACATCTAAAAAGAGACAACATTACTCAGTTTCTTTTCCCCTGATATCTCTATTCCTGGACAACAAGTCAAAGTGTTGTCCAAAACAATTAAGGTTTTCCAGGAACAACTCCACACAGTGCTACATGGGGCAGAATGTTTCGGTGCATGAGAAAAAAATAAATAGGCTGCTTGTCTAAGCAATGCATGTTCAATTTCAGCACCACATTTCTGTCCTTTTAACATTAAAATGTGGGTCCAACCGTATTCTTTTCCAGCCCTCTGTATCTCATCTACAGTATATACACTATCTGACAGGTAATATCAACTCACCTTTGGGTCAGCAAGTGCATTGATAACATTTCCTAGGGCAAGAAGTGAGCGATTGATGTTAGCGCCTTCCCGAAGACGAGCACCTTTGGCGTTGGTGGCGCTGGCCCTCTCCGAGCCGGCCAGATCGATCAGGCTCATCTTGGCGACGCAGGCATTGGGATTGAGGCTGGCGGTTTTGTCCTGCTGTCTTAAATATATCTGAAGAAAATAATAAAAAAAACTGTGAATTCCAGACTATCGAAAAGCAAATGGTGGCACAATGTCAGATGGTTATAATGAAACCAGACACTTCCTATACTTAAATTGAGGAGTGACAACGGTTTGCAGGTAAGCTTTTATATTTCTTCTGTTGCTTATTATTATTATTATCTTGCTTATAATATTCCACATTTTGACATCATGTTACAGCATAACTGTGCTTCTAGATTTCAATAACACCGGATGGAAATACCTGAAATACAGCATGGGACCGGGAAGAGGTGGCATTCATTTCAGTGGGGTGCTGGGTCCTGTTGCGGTTGCCAGAATCCAACGCCTCAAGAATGTGCTCTGCAGATTTGGGCTGTATAGGGGAGAAAAAAAGGAAATACATAGATGTAGTGTGACCCAATAAAGCATCCCCACAGCAACTTATCTGGGTTTTATGGAGTACAACATTAAATTTTTTGTCATCTAATCTTGTACAACCTCTACAAACTTGTGATGTTTTGCAAAAGCAAGTGAGGGAAGGCTAACTGGGTTCCACGAAATAGACTATGCAATGAAACCAGTATTTACCTTTGATACACTCTGATGCTACTGACCTGATGCAGCGTGAGGCCCTGAACAACGACTCCTTTAGAGCTGTCCTCTCTGACCGCAAGTGGGCCGGCATTCGCCAACAAGTCTCGGATCTGTTCATTGTAAACCTTTAAACAAACGACACATGTAATTGCAAACAGCTCCAAACAACTCAACACCGTTGCAGGACGTCCGTGAAGACAGAAATAGTGAAAATATTTCTGACTCGCCCAGACTTTCACGTGAGACAGTTTATGCAGACGTGTTTTAAACAGTAAGCAACTTAATTCCTCTTATTTCAAAGATGAAAGAATTCAAAGTAATACATTTAAAAACGGCCACTTTGTGTGTGAAGGACAATAATTTAAGTCCGATAAGCACCGTGACACAAGATTAGGACAGGTTCTGCACCGGTAGAAAAGAAAAGAAAAAAATCATCACCTCTAGATACGAGAACGCAACTGCGAACTCTTTCTCCTCCTTGGCCTCGTCCATGCGGCTGAACAGCTCTGTCATGGTGCGGTACATGACACCAGGATCATTTGGGGAGCCCAACATAGTATGCGTCTTGCCTGCTCCAGTGGCACCGTAGGCAAACACTGTAAGTGGGAAAAACTCCTTTTAATAAAGTAAAAGGCACATCAAAGTAAATATTGATCGCAACAATAATATCAAGCCTAATTTGGATGGAGCTTAATCACAATTCTGTATGTGATAAATGTAAATATGAAAAATAAAGCCCATGCGTGTTGTGTTGGTTGACAAAAAATATGGTACATTTGAATCAAGACCTCTTCAAGAAAAGCTGAGCACTAAAACCTTCTTGAAGGCAGGATTTACTGCAGAGCGGCTGTGTTAGATTACATTACGTAGTTGTAGACAGGTGTACTGAATAAACTGCAGAAAGAGTGAATATTGTTTTGCAGGATCAATAGTTCTTACTGCCCATGGCATCTTTCAATGGATCAATGACGACGTTCTAAAGCCAATTGGTTTCAAATGCAGCGGGTACACCAGCTGTCAGAATGCACCATTTGTGCTTTTACAGTGGTACTGTAGAGCGTTGTGAGCTAGTGACCAGCAAGTGAACCGTGGAGCAGACAAAATTGACAACAGGCAGCGGTTTCAATTAACGAGACACCAGCTTGAGTCAGCGAGCCGCGTTGAGGAAAAGTCAAATGGAAAACACGGCTCTTACTTGGTGCCGCTGTAGCTCACACCTCCATTTGAACCTCAGTATGTGGTCACCCTGGGGTTTAAGAGAGCCAGTCATAAATCCCCAAAGTTTACTGCTATGCCGATTAGCTCACTTTATTACAGAGCCCCCGAGGGGTCAGGGACACCCCCCGCCCCCTTTTTTCTGAACAACTTTTGACTTCCTCTGCAATAACTTGTAATTAATGTTATGTTGCTGTGCGTTGAAGTTTTGCATTACGTGAGCTACTGTAAACTTGAGGTCCTGTGGTTTATTAGCAACACTACAGCCTGGTAACAGTAGGGATTCAAACCCATGTATACCTTGATATGCCTTCTTGAGTAATGTTCATAAAAGCTGTAAAGCTCAGTGACAATATAACCATTTCCATAATGCCATTGATACAACCAAATTCACAGCATGAATTGCAATAGCCACGCAGAGCAGTCGATAGTCAGTGCTCAGGCTCTTGAAAATAGCAATATTATATAATAGATGATTTAACATAATCACTCCGTTCTATAGACCAACCAATACATCTTCTACATATTCCTTTGTTACCTGTGCAGTTATATCCGTTCATCAAACCGTCCAATATTCCTTTAGTGGTGCTCTCAAAGATTTCAACTTGGGTAGAGTTCTCGCCGAAGACGTGGTCAAAAACAAACTTGAGGTCTTTGTTAGCCTTCTTGTTGACGTTTCTGTTTCGCACTCTTTGCGACCCAAAACATGATGTATCCAGTTCCTTGGGGTCAAATATGAGCATGTGGTTGTCAACAACCTGAACCACATTTCGACAGTTTTCCTGCTTCTCCTTCTCGTTAATTGGCCTCACTCGAACAACCACCTTCACGTGGCTGCATACGTCACTTGCCATTTTGGTCCTTCTAGTAGTTACTGAAATGTTGCTGCAAAACAAAAGACAAAAATGTTAACTATATTTTCCCCATTGCAAATCACCAGTGTATGTTTGAACAAAATGCAGAATAAATCATACAAATTTAGATTATACAGTGGAAAAGATCATAACAAAAACAAAAAGTTTCCCTGGCCTCCCTGGAATTTTGGTCTCAGTTTATCCCCAATGGCATTGCAGATAATTGACATGCTCTTTTTACTGAATATAAAGTCTTATTGTAAAATGCGTAGTAGTAGATTATTTAAGCATTTTGTCTCAGTACATAGTAAAGATGCGTTTCAACACAACATTTTTGCATTGCTGTTGAATTGTAATGTACATTTTGCAATATCTAATATGAATTAATATTTGGTTCATCTTCATTGATGTAGCTTTAAATATGTTTGTGATGCATGTTGTACAAATACACTGGATTAAGACAGGTGTGTCAAAAAAACGGGCAAATACATTTTAACATGTCCAAAAGAAAACTGACTTAATGTCATTGTGTTTATGCCCACGTCCATCCCTGCCGTTGCACATTACACATAACAACGATACTAAATGAATGGATTCATTAAGTAAGTTAACATTATGTTCACCGGCAGGTTGAAAAAGACGCAACAACAACTTAATAACCATATTTTCAAACCTTGTCTGACAAATAACCCAATGAACCACACGCTTACGGCTACGCTAACGCCTACTAGCTTTGACAGCTAACAGCTCTCGTACAACTTCCAACGGTAACGGTTACGTGAGCGCCGCTGTCTTCATGTAGGATTCACCACAAGCGATTAAACGAGCGTTGCGTCTTACCTTTTGTCATTACAGTCTATCTTTCTTTTCCTGCTGTTTTTCCGATTTCACACCAAGTAATGTCAGATCATGCTGGAAAACAAAGTCGCTTGGTAACCTTACGCATAGCGAGATAGCTAGCACGACTAGCGCCAATATTTTCAAAAACAAAGCTCTCTTCCTCCCTCGCAGGGGATTGGACGCGAGGTTGCGCGTCACTGGTGACGCGCCGGACATGCTGCTGCTGCTGAAGGTGGAGTCACGCTGTGTTCTACTACGGTAAGCTACGGAAACCTTCCAGAGGTGTAGACACGTTTCCCCGTCACAGCGGACCTTAGTCAAACGCGTCTAAATGAAACTAAATTGCCTGTTGCGACCCTATCCGTGGCGTTACATTCGTTCGACATTTTCACACTCTCCGTTGTGTACGCAGTCGCGCATGGGCACCCAACATGGTGGCATAGCAACAATATCCTATGCATAGCAACAATGTCCTATGCATAGCTCTGGCGTCAGGCTCGAAATGAAGCATTACAGCACCTGCACACACACGTGATAATGATTAAACGGGGTGCCAAACCTCGCATATCCCTTCTTATCTCATCTCCAAGATCAAACGCATCATTGGCACTTGGGTTAGAGTGTGCTTTTGTAAGTGAGCTCCATTCTTGCATTAGTTCTGGTGTTTCTTTTTAGGCGAGATAGTTCACGTTATCTACTGATCACCCGCTTCACACAAAATTGACGTTTTTATCGCAGTACAACAACAACAACATACAATCGATTCCACGCGTCTGGTAAAATGAGTCCCTGTCAGCAACTAACTGCTGTAAAGTCGTGCTATTGTGACCTTTTACCTTACCGGCTACGGCAACCAAGGAGGCCTCAATCACGTGGCCTTCGAAAAACTACCTCGTCCTCAAATTGAATAATAATGCCTATGCTATTATCATATGCTCTGTATCTTTTAGTACATTATGTTACTGAGAATGGTACTGAGGGGATGTTTAATTTAATTATACCATGGATGTGTTAAGTTGTAAAGATGGCACAGTTGAAAATAATAGTGGCAATTATTATGCTCCAAACAGTCCACCACTCATCCATCCATCATTCTCTGCTCTCCTAGTAAGGGGTAGTTTATGTGACTGGAACCGAGTAACGTTCTTGATTTACGTCGTGATGCAGACAACGGTGATATAATAATAATAATAATGTGGATATAAACAAGATTTTAACCCTGTGCGGCACAGGAGTTTTGGTTCACTGACAGCAATCATGCTCTTCAAATACCGTATTACGCTTTGCAGCAATTGAACTATTTGCTTTGTGTTCACCAATGCCCGGTGCACATTAGTTTCATTCCTTCAGCTTCTGAAAATATTTCTATTTCATTAGAATCGTGCGTCACTAACCGATCTCTAATTTCCAATGCATCCTGTTGCCAGGAAACACCTGAAAACCCTTTCAACCATGTGGCTCACTGCAGGCACTGTTGTTCCTGTAGAATGCCAAAATTTAAAAATAATTAACCAAAGATGTACTTACTAGTATTGATGGCATGGTGGTGATACGAGTTCAACCTTTTTAGAGCGAAAGTCAGGCAATCATAAAACTGTGATCTCCTATTGTTTTGGTTGTAGATCAGCTGTTTAATTCATTTAAACAATGTGGGCTTTATATTTTAGTTTTTAAATTACTATAGTTGATCATTTCTCCAAATAATTGCACCGTTTATACGAACACTTATTTGGTCATATTCAAATCTGTAGTCACTCGTCACACTGTTACAAACCATCCTACTCTAAATACGTTCTAACCATTGGTTGCTCTTGTTTTCTCTATAGATCATTAAAGGGATCAGTTTTTTTTCAGTGTCCTACAGCACAATGTTATGGAAAACAAATCGTGCTGTGTGGAGAGCATGGAGGTCATGGAAGTCAAGCCCACACTCTTCTACAGCTTGTGCATCTTCTGGTCCTGGTCCCCTTGACAGATCTGAAGAACTGTCTTCTGTTTTAACCCCAAAACCTCCTCACACACCTGTCATGCTTAAAGAGGTGCTTCATTACTTAGACGTCCAGCCAGGTCAGGTACGTTTGCATCTTCGTTATTTTTGCAAGCTTTTCAAAAGAAAGTTAATGTCTGATATTTTTTTAATAATTCGAAACATTATTCCGATTTATATTATTTGACTTTTTTCTTATCATTAGATATCAATATCAATAGGATGTATTCATCTTCATAAGAACATAATTGTCGTATTTGTCTTTTTAGACGTTGTTGTCGGCTTTGCTTCGGTTGCTCTGATAATGGCTTACATGCAAAGTCATCCTGAGAGGCGTTTCTTATATTATGTTCTTCTGATATGTGTCAGGACATTTGAAACACCAATGAATGTCATGTATTTTGATGCGACACCACCACGAACCAACAATCAACAACAATGTACTTTTCTATCTCCAGGAAGATGACATGTATTGCATGTCTGTGGTATTAGTTTAGCAAATAAAAATACATGATTTGGTTTTAATTGGATTTAAAACAAAAGCAAATACATCTTTAGAGTCTTTGCTATCTGAAGAGAGCTATTACAAATGACCTCTTAGCTGATACTGATCACGCATGAATTGGAGAGGGTGCCAACAGCTCTGCTTTCACTTAATTTATGTCCTACCAGGACAGATGGGCATGAGTCAAAAGCCTTCTGGTGTGGCAGGCAGCATAAGAGGGGAAACGTTGTCCCCCCCAAAATAATGCATGGTCAAGTCAGGTGGGGGCCATGGGTCAACAACTTAGTCAGGAACTGCGCCACTGTAAGTCTGTTGGCAGGACACAGGGTGCTGCGTCGCTCCTGCCTGAACTTTAGCACCTCTAAACTCCTCCGCTGTCCGCCCATTTGCCAACTGTCCCGAGACAGCTTGCCAATCAGATGCTATTAAAAACAGTTTGATAGAGTTTTTGCATGTGCGTGCTGTAGACCTCACTTAGTGTGACGCGTTGTGGAAATGTTGTGTGGTTCCATCCAGAAGTCGTGTCTTAAATGTTGCTTCTCTGCAGATATCTGCTAATCTATATGATGACACATGTTACGGAGCTGCGTAATCGCTCCGTAAAGACGGCCGCGTGGCCTGTCAGTCTCAAAAGGGCTGTCAAAAGTCTCAATTCTGACATGACTCCCTGACAGAGCTGTCATTTGAGCAGTCCAATTTGTGGTGGTTAAGTGATGGTGTCACTATCGGATCAGTGGCTGTGGGATTTAAGAACTGAAATCAGACGAGTGTCCACTGAGGGCTGTGAGATTTTTAATTTGAATGACTATTGTAAAATAATCAGCAAAAAGCAATTGCTCTTGTCAGGTGAAGCAGAGTATGTTTAAATGGGGTACTTAAGCCATTATTGGTGTCAGCATATACTGCAGTTAAACCAAGGCGTGTAAACGGAGCCTTTCTGTGCCCTGCTGCCTCCCACACACAAGCCGTCTGCCTGTAAATATGTACACAGGTGGCTAATTTGTGCTGGTAGCCTTCACTATATTTTCCCCATTTTACAAATGGTCGTCATGCTTATTGGATCAAGATTGATATTTATCATGTTTTTTTTCCCACTGAAAGCATACAATCACTTTACAAAAATGGACACCGCTCATCTGTAATTGACTTAAAGGGCGGTGCAGGGATGTGACGGTAACGTTGTATTGCTATGAGTGTCTGTGACTGAGTTGAGGTAAACCGCTCTCTCTGTCCAGGGCTCATCTCTCATCCTCTAACTGCAAAGGATGTAATATTTTGGGGCCCCAGTTATGGCTGCACGCTCAAGGACTTCTTTTGGTTGCGATGACTCACACCTTCTCAAAACAAATATTGGCTTCTTTATCCCACTGACGCCCGGCTGACTCCTCACTCACTGCTTCTAACCACCATGGCCACTTGGGGCCGCAAAGATTTAACAGTGCTGAGCCCCCCCCGCCCCCTCCACACTCTGTTTTTGTTTTGGATGATTTGTATGCTACCAACAAGTAGAAGTACTAGTACATACTCTGTTAGGTACTTCTTAGCCACTGCTGTGTGGCTTACTTTAATTGTTTTATTTTACAAACCACCAACAGAAGTACCAGCACACAATAATCCCGTTCCATGCACTCATGTTATTTTTTGTTTTGCCTGATTGTTGTTTTTTCTTGACGCCGTGTTGAGCTAACCAATACACCGCCGGGTGTAAAAATGTGCATGCTTTTATTGTTTGGCTTACAGCTAGTTGAACTACTAGTGCACACGCATATATTTCTGATCATATCCCTAAAGATCAATATTACAATAATGTAATGTGGGCCATTGATGCTTTTATTAAATATTACATGGTGGAATTTCTGATAAATATTCACCCGTAGTGCAAATGTAATGACCAAGTGGTTAAGGTAAATAATAGAGCTGTTGTTGTCTAGGTCCTAGACGTGTATAGTAATTTTATTGGTATCCTAGGATACCGATAAAATTACTATACACGTATCCAATTCATTTTCAATTGTTTCTTTTCTTAAAGATTTGGTGTCATTTCTGTCGTAAAAATAAGGTTGTGCGCAAATATGTTTTGTCGTTATTTGCTGATTAAATGAACTGTCTATGCACAGGCCCAGGTTAACTGAGCGAAGTAAGAGAAAATGTGAAGTTGTAAACTACATATTTAAAGTGTCCATTGTGAAACTGACGTCTTGATTCAACTTTAAACGATTTTCAAATTTTGCTGTGACCTTTTCGGTGACGGGAAGCCCTCCACGTCTGGTTTTACCTCCAAACAGAGTGGCAGCTGTTTAAAACCTGTATGATCATCAGATCACTCATATTCTGTCCCTTGTTGGACCGCTCTGAAACTATGTGGCCACATTCAGAGGTCTAAACACTGTGAAGTTGATGTAGAACCTTCAACCACTATAAACGAGCCTTCTTAATCCTTTAATGCTTTCAAACTTTGCTATTATTGCAGCTGTGAAGCAACAATAATAAATCCCCGTTTTATAGCTTTGGGTTTATTCTTTGCTATAATGCTTCCATGAAATTCCCCCCTAAACTTGTTAACAATCATGGTAATGTAAAAGCATAGAATGAAAAGGACGATGCGTGAGAAGTCCTCCAGTAGCGCAGGGTGCTTGCGTAGGGGACCTCCGCCAGAACAGATTAATGAGCCATCAGATGAGAGTCCGGGGGAAAAACCCTGTGCTGCTGTAGGAAGAGAAATGAGCTGCCTACCCCTACATTTCAGTCTCAACACACTCCCTCTTGTGGAATTTATGAGACCATAAGTGCTAAACCTCCTTTTTGGATCAATATCAGAGTCTTTCAACAATCAGCACGTGAGCATGTTCGGATTAGTCACGTGACGACAGTCACAGGTATACATGGTGAAGACACGCCAGAATTGTTATTGCATAATGAATGAAGTTTTATAGTTTGTTCTAAAAAAAAATATACCCAGGTCATCAGGAAAGTAAGAGAAGCACAAAAGAGCAGCTAGTGTGCAGAGCAAGTAGTCGTCCACTGGAACCTGCACACAATAAGATAATAAGATGATGTTGGAAATGCAACACAGAACAGTGTTTCCACCAGGTTTACAACTCCAGGAGGGGTACTAGTCGGGTGGGGGGTCGTTTGTCCACTGGTGCAAGCGGCACGTGCACGCATACGCGGACATATTCGCGCAAGTGTCGGGCCGGAACTGCAAAAAAAGAATTCCAGACTTTTTCACTTCCCCTGTTATTTGGGTGATTTGCTGTAATTCGGACACAAGATGAGGCCCTCCGCTCTATGGATCACAAAACACTTAAAAAAGTTTAAAAAAAAGGATGGAACACTGACTAGAATAAGTAGTGTACAGCTGTGGGACACGAAACCTTCAGTTTTTCCCCAATAAATGTGTTTGTTTTTTGTGTGTAATTTTTAAAGCTCATGGCTTTTGTCAGGGAGGAGAAATCCATCAATGTTTAATGCAAGTTAATCCAGCATATCTTGAAATGTGTCCCCCAGTGTGCTAATGTCAGCAGAGGATAATCTTTTACCGGGTACTCGGTGTACCAGTTTGTAAAGAGGGGCATTGATGGGGTTAATATGATCTTGTCTCATTTAATTAGTTTGAAGTCTTACAGCTGAATTTTGGGCTAACTGAGGTGAGAAATGACTCTTGAGTCTACAGTGCAGGGAGCACCATGTACATTTGTGCAAGGCTAGCCTTGGACGCTCACAGAGGTTCACCTTAACTCAAATGTTAAGATACTCAATATACAATCTATAAACCCTCATGTCAAATTGAAGGGTGGCATTCATATATTATATCTCATTTAACTATGGGAAGCAGCATTTTAACTGTACACTATTTCTGAGAAAAGATCCTTTTTTTCATTCGTGTTATAATTTAAGTTCCCAGCATCAGCCTGGTGAATCGCTGATGTGAATACAAGCAAACGGGTAATATGATATTGTCTCTTCAAATTAGTTAAAAGCCTTGCAGTTGCCAAGCAGCTGAAGACGAGAAATTGCTTCAGAAGTAAATACAAAGTCAAGGGAGTTACAGTAATTCAGTAACCCTTCAAATTCACTTTTGCAACAAACTATGTAAAACTTCTGCAAAAGGCACATTATGAATCAAGTTTTATTTATTTATATAAAATAATGTAGTCAGTTTAAGACATATCACTGAGGTTTTATGAATGTCTAATCTTTTTTTATTTTATTTTTAACTAAGCTGTTGTGCATTTCAGGTAACAAATGTTATTTTAATTGTAGACAACATGCTTAGAAATTACATTCAGTTACATCTATCTGAGAACAAACTCTGATGTAGCCTTTTTAAAAAGGTGTAACGTCTAGAACAACTTGCATGACAGAACAAACACCATCTATATTGTCTCGAACAAATAACTTAATATTTAGTAACCTTTGCTGGGTCTTTTTCTTTTTTTTTCTTTTCTTCTCTTTACACTCCTTTTTTTGGAGCACTGAGCAGTGAAAGAGGAGGCTGGTAAATAATTGATCCTTGTAATTAAACACTCGAGCCAGGGATGCTGGGGCTGATTGACGGCCAGATATTAGGCCCTTGTCTC